AATGATTAACATGTGCAACCCTTAAAATAACAAGGAGTTAAGACCAGGTGTTTCGGAAGGATACGCGTCTTCTGCTTTCTCACCGACACCCGAAATGTAAACATACGTCACATCCAAGTAATATCAAGTCATCAAAGTGAGATCGATATGGTGAGAACAAAATACAAAAGCACACTTATGAGTATAATATAACAACACCGACCTTCATAACAAAGAACTAGCATATTTCCCAATGATATCACGTTGGCCTATTTCATAAACGGTGGGTTTTGTGTTACATGTCCACTCTTTGTGGTGATCGATTAGTGTTTACTTATCTATGCATAGTGATGGCCTTCTGATGGTCGTTTTGTTGTAACTTGGAGACCATCACACAACGTTATTTGTTCTTCTCTCGCAAATCTCGTATATACATTCAGATAGTTCCTTATGACTAACGGAACACGTCAGCATATATTGTATTGACGTAATGAATATTTCTGGTTTTGTGTTCCTTTATAATATCTGGTAAATAATGTGTTTTGGTGACTGGCAAATAATCGACTATAGAACGACTATTGATTGATTGAGAGTAAGCGTCAAAATTAATATATTTAAATTCATATTGATAATTGTTTTCATGCATCCGCAAAATTAATTCATTTACGTCAACAAACAATTATCTGCAAATTGATCATGTTTTAATGTGGTCTCAACATGCGATACCTAATGCACTATTTCAGGCAAGAACTCAATCAGTTAGCTGATTAGGTGTAATAGATAATGTGGAAATAAATTGATGTCAAGGTGCTCTATGTAGCCGTGATGTATCTATATTTAGTAACACGTGGGAAATCGATTGCAAACTTTATCATCTGCAATGATATTAAATGATTACTTAATGTTCCATCGCATACAATTGATGGATAAACGTACGCACACACATGTGATGGCACCTTAAAAAATTGGTAATAGTAACAGTATGCAAAAACAATGACTTACGCTGCACCCAACAGCGCCGTCCTTTTAGGACTCATCAGCGGTGCTAGTGACCAAAAAGATGAAATTCCGAATTGATCTGAAATGCTGTTGAAACAAAACAGGGATATGTATTAAACCTCGCAATGATATGATATTAACAATGAGTGAATCCGGACATTTTTGTTCACAAGAAATGCATGAAATAATGTTTCTCTAGCCTCAGGGGGTATGGATTAATGAAATTCCATTATATGGATTGATGAGGTTAAAGTGTACAGGTAAATGAGAATGAGAATGATTGTAAGGACGGACTTCTATTGTTAAGGTAAATGAGAATGGTTGTAAGGGGGACTTCTATTGTTAAGGTAAATGAGAATGGTTGTAAGGACGGACTTCTATTGTTAAGGTAAATGAGAATGGTTGTAAGGACGGACTTCTATTGTCAATGTAAATGATATTGTATTTTATGATTTAATGAGATAATGTTTTACAGATTGACGACCAATGTACGGATTAATATTTAATTGTACAGATTAGTGAGATTCCTTTGTTTAGGTTAATGCGATTTATTTGTAAGAAATAATAAGTTTTAGTTGTACATACATTGCATACATATTCAAAGCGAATGGAAATACTCTTTTTTTTGTCGAGAAAACACAAAAATGGATCTCACTCAGAGAGGCAAAGTTAATCCATATTATACAAGTTATTCATCTAATTATGGATTCCCTTTGCACATCAAATATATATGAAGTTCCGAAAGAAATCAATTATCATTTTGGCTCAAAACAGAAACATAACCAATGAAGTAAGTGCGAGAGGTGAGACGCTTGGTAGAAAACTAATCACTTTGACAAGAACCTAGTCAAGACGTAGACAAGTGCCTTACCGGCAATAACATACAGACAATGTCCAGTGTCAAGACAGACTTCACTTTAAGTCACGATGTCATTGATTGGCTGATATGTACGCAGCTGCAGAATTGCCACACTTCCATTTCCGATCAATATATTACGTCCATAAAAGGATATTTGGCATTTGGTCAAATTAAGTTGGTTAATGGACAGCATAAATACCCCGCAGACATCATGAAATATTAGTTTGACCCCTGCATATTTTATGAAGTTAAATGTCGCTATAAGCACTCATTTCACACGTCAATTGTTCTAAAACGAAAGCAAATATGTTTATGCACAAACAGCAAGTAAATGTTTATTTTAACATATAAGAAAATGCATAAAAACGCAGTGGAAAAATCCAGCGAATGGCTTTATTTAATTAACGTCATCAGTTTACTGGAACTGTTGCCTATATGTGATTTAAAATATCGTGTCAACATTGGTTGGGGGATATCACTGTAGTATGAAAACCAATTTACAAGGATCAGAAGGCAAATATATCATACACAGCCTTTTACCAAGGCAGTTTTATTTTATCATATATGTGTTAACTCGGAAACTAAATCATTCTCCAACCATACAAAGGGTTGATTCATGCGATGAAGGAGGGTCTGTGCTGTTACATGGGTTTGCGAGTAACACAGAATGGCATTTATTGGAATAATTACAATGTGCATGTTGTATCATGAGCGATGGACAAAAAATGTCACCCTCCCTTTTCGTGATGGTAAGCTACATTTGGTTGCCGCCATTCAGATAATAAACAATTTACATGCGACTGTGAAAGAAGGGGGCATACAGAAAACGACATAAGGGTTTTCTCCAATGTTGACATTTTAAATGGAAGCGTTAATCATTCACCGATGTGACCAAATTAAACCAAAATCTTTATAAAAATAACTGGGTTTTTTAACTTGTAATTAAGTAATCAATATGATGTCAAAGAATGACACTGTCTTTTAATGATTAATTTCCTTGAACCCTTGTCATCTCCAAATTGTCTGTCAATATTCCTATGGTTATCTTAAGTATAAAGTAAACAGCCCTTTCTATCGAAACTTGCAAAATAAGACACATTTTTGCGGTCTGCTGAATTCAGACTCATTGTGATATTCATCATGACTTGATTTAAGTATCAGGTAATGCAGACTTTTTAATCTGGTAATACATACGTGTATGATGATATCTTCTTCTACTACGGGTCAGGATAAATGTTGCATATACATTTGTACATTTATCAGATCAAGAGAATATACGACATAATAGAAATGTCATTTGTACTTGACACAATACATCTCCAGCACACAAGCAGGCATATACCCATAGGGAGAAATTAGCCAGGTGGCATAGGACTAGTTGTTAGTCCATGATACGGCAGCTCATACGAATTCCACAAAAAAATCATTGATTAATGTATATGCTAATTGTATTGTCACTGCATAACCAGGTTAACTCAGTATTGAAGTATATTATTGGGTATGATATTGTTCTCTAAGATGACGTCAAGCCAAACTGGCGAAGGAAGTGCAAAAAGAGTAACAATAATGAAAATAACGAAAAGGTACGACACCAGATCTAAGGTTAAAATAAAAGCTGAGGTAGGAAACAATGTGGTGTACAATAGGGTGATGCAAATCGTTCATTTAATAAAAAAATAAATTACTTTATCGATTTCATGTTTAAACACTCAATAATATCGAATAGACACATTATTTACCGTCTCCTGTGGGATCTATTTGTTACTGTACTGTATCGGGTGAGTTTATTCACCAATATACAATAGCACTATAAACCCGACCCAGCGGTGTGTTGATGATAGCTTTGTCCGTGTGGCATGTCCAGGTTACATTGATCACTATCATACCGCCTAGCTGTATGTAGGAACATGGGTTACACGGCGCGGTCGTGTAATGAAATGAGGAAAACATGATAGAGCTAAAAATGGGGAAAAAACCTTTTTGCACTTCGCATGATTTAAACGGAGGTGACATTGGTAAACGCACTAGTGTCTCTTTGATATCTTCCATGTCCATGGGAGAATGCACTGTAGGTGTTTACACTACAAATGATGAATAGTTTGTAGAACATTCAATTAAAGTAATATAATTCAAGTAGGTGGTTTTTTTCTTAGCTCAATTTTTTTAGATATAGTATCGCGTAATTTATTATTAAAACGAGGATATCTTTATTTGATAAAAACAATGGGTTTTTTTGTATATTTAGAAATGATGTTTGATTAAATAAGGAAAACATTTTTTTAATTTAATCAACATGTTAAAATAAATATAAAACATATTTCAAAGAATATTGGAGGCATGTATATAATGTTTAAGATGGTCGACAGACATAATGTGATAATATAATATATATATTTAACGATAAAACATATAACTCAATTCTACTGATACATGTCGATAGATGAGTATCAACATTATTATATGCACAGATAAATTCACAATAACACCGTGTATAATGTGTTATCTTATTTCAGCTACTTTATACACTTACCATATCACATGATGTATCGTTATTGTTAGAGTGACACGTTCTGATAAAACATCGAGTGTAAACGGATTCTAATACACCAACAACCCTCGGTCGATACCGTAGATACAGGGTCTGTCCGGATTTCCTTACTAGCGTACGTTTCACACTATCATTTTGTGATGTGTGGCATTTTACACTTGCCAAACGTTGAATGCCTGTCGGACCATTAGAGAAAACAATCGAATTTAGTTTAATGGACGTATAATTTCCAGTTGAGCGAATACTTCCATCTGACGTTACTCGGTCGCTCCCGTCTCCTGCCATAAACACCATATGTTCGCTTGGCTAAGCTCACCAAAAGGTCTGGGTAGTTGTGTACTTCAGCACTGTGTCTATAAGTTTTCACAATCTACATAATACACATGTATGTAATTACTCTGTCGTCCGGCTGTCAGTCTATAAAGACAGACTTTTCATTTTTGGCAGGCTTTCTAACATCCACTTAACATCACTCATATATAATTAAATTATATATAATTAGTTGATTTCATAAACATATTTTCTGTTCACTTACAAATTCTTTTTTCATTGATGAGTATGGACATTACCTATCAATCGCCTTATCCAATCAGATATCTCGATACATGTCGGGTCGGCGGTACACGCTGGATCAATAGCAGGGCTCACTCTACCTTTGCGTGTGTACATTAAGGCCCGTAGCCTGTTATGTTTCTCGCATTGTGTGACAACTAACCGCCCGGTACACTTCGGTCGGACTAGGTATACTACTAGTAAAAGGTACGGAGAGATCTAAGACTATATACCCACCACTCACGGCACTGTATTACACTAGCTCAGCACGGTGTGGTGAGGTTTTGTTCCGCAGCACATAAACTTTAACGACAGCAAAAGGCTGGCATCAAATGCGGATATAATTACATAAGAGGAGTCACATTCTTTAGTTGATGCAGAAACTGTGAAACCACTTTGGAATTTACGTGAGCTCCTTTCACACATTTAGATATAATTCATATACTGAAATGTATTCCTGGAATGTGCATTTTCCTGATTGTGTATAATTGTTTGAAACTGTAGGTAGAAAACCGAAAAAAAGTTGATGTCTTATGGATCAATGATATTTATTGGGAAGGAGTTTGTTCCCATGGGATATTCTTGAATTTGATTCCAAATAAGAAGCTCAGGACAACACACACACAAATCAATTTTACTCCATATCACATTTCCGTAAGTACTTCGGCGAGTTTCTCGTGTATTTGGTAAATACAAATTCGACCCCGTTGGGATTTAAGGAAATTCCATGTAGTTGTTTGATTTTATTGGATTACGTTTCAAATTTCCGCTGAGGATTGTAAAAAGAAGTCACATGACCGATTCTATTAGCGTTAGCTGTGAGTACATCGTCAGATCAACATCACGACGAGGAGGGGAAATTAAACGAAAATACATATGGCAACAGTTCTGATAATGTCAAACTGCTGTAATGATGTGAAAAAACTATTTGGAATATGATGCGTGTTCCCAAGGAGATTTCTCTATGACAAATACTTGTGTAAGTGTATAGGTGGATGTTTAACCTTTACTCTACCAGGGGTTACGTAGTGGTGGCCATGACATGAGGAAAGTTTACCCTCGAGGCCCCCTGAGTTATTTCAGAAGAAGTAAATTCTGCTCCATACTTTTTACCCTCAGCTTCATACTGCTATGTTTTGTATTCCTCATATATGAAAATGGAAATGTCGTTGAAATTCCATCTTATGAAAGTCCAGCAAATCAAGAAAAGTACAGCGAACAAGATCTTAGTTATAGAAAGCTACCCACGGAGTTAAATGCATTGGATTTCTTCGGTTCTCGTCGCCATAACAGAAATTTACAGCATTTATATTCAAAGGATTTATTTGATGAAAAGCGAAAAAAGGACTTAACCACTATGATTTACAAAAAGGGAAGGAACCAAATGAAAAGCGAGAGAAAAGTTGTTTCCAATTTACAACAACGTGGACTTTTTAATGTGCCAAAGAAGACTATAGCAGCGAAGGTTGGAGACACGCCCTCCAGTCAGGAGGTTACAGATTACTACAACTTTGAGGGCTATCGAACTACAAGTAGTGATGATAGCGTGGAGTCCGAACAGATAGGCGTGCCGTGTAAGAAATTACCAAAAGTAATTATCATCGGAGTAAAGAAATGCGGCACGAGAGCCTTACTTGAATTCTTAAGGATACATCCGGAGGTCAAGGCCACTGGTCCTGAACCACATTTCTTTGACCGTTACTACGACCATGGGTTGGAGTGGTACAGGTAAATTCAATTATACTTTAGCACTGCGTGATTAACAATTTATAATGGCGATCCCTAACTCGACACCACACACGTTACACGGGGATCCTATATCTTCCTTCCATAGATATCTTGTTATGATCAATGTAATGAAGACAGAAATGCACAAGCTTTATGCACCCCTGTTTGATTTTTTGATTGTCATTATGCGTTTAAAGTTAAGAGTGTTCATTTAAGTCCATATAAAAAGAGACGAAAACTAATAGCACGTTTCAGTGTCAATGGTGTAAGGCTAGTCCCCCTACTACCTAGTGTAATTATCTGATAATGGCTTGAGATGTGACATATGTTTGGGGACCACGAAATACTGATAGCCTATAGTGTAGTGTTTCAGTCCACAGGCTAGCACGGGATACGAACAACACTGTCAGTGTAGGAGTCTAATATAGATATGACCATATACAAATTCATTAACTTCATTTATGTCATAAAAGTGGATAAGTACAGTGTTCAATATTATAATTTGAAAGTAATCCATCCGATATGCTTTAAAAAACGAAGTGCATTTATTATGAATTTTAAATATCCATGTTGTAGATTGTAAAAGATTAATAACTCTAACACGTGCCGAGCATATCCTTTGGGTCTTGGGGCCCCTCTGATGAAATTGGTTTAATTTTATTACCGCCTTGTCCTTCGTGGGGATTACAAAATACCTGTAATCTCTATCATTTGATAAAAAGTTTGTGTCTCATCAGACCTCCTTAGTATGGCAGTTTTATACAGGTCATGCTGTTTTATTTGGTCATGGTCAGATACATTTATCGCTAGGTTAGTATGTCGGTTAGTGATGGCAATACCTGTGCCAATCAGGTAACCCTACAAGGAGTATACCATCTGTGTTTCAACCACCATCTTTGCAACATACCTGAACATTTTTTTTTTCTCTATAGGCCGGTGTCCCAACATTGAATTGTATGAGGTCCTGATCGATACAAGCAAATTGGTTGTCTGCTGCTGCACTCTTAATGGGAATCTTTCAGATCAAATAAGAAAAATAACAGGTTAAACAAAAGATATATTGGTAATTTAAATGAAGTGCATGATATTTTCCTGTTGTTTCGAATCAATACTAGTAATATATTTACTTATTTTACAAGAGGCTCAATCAAGAGTACGTGTACTGGTCGATGTCAGTGTGTTATGTTACATGTCTCAGTGTCAACTGCAAAGGTGGTAGTTCCTGATCGTTGTTATCACTACAGAGCACTGAGTAGCTTTCTGCTGTAGATGTAATAGGCATGCTACCACAAACTTCCTTTCTCTAAACAGTTCTTCCTCTGCCTAATAAAGATACATGTATGATGGACATGTCTGACTACAAACTTCATCTAGTGAAACGGTTCTTCCTCTGCCAAATAAAGATATCATAGGCATGTATGACTTCCTCTCGTGTAACGGTTCTTCCTCTGCTTAATACAGATATAATAGTCATATCTGACTACGCACTTCCTCTCGTGAAACGGTTCTTCCTCTGCCTAATAAAGCTATTATAGGCATGTCTGACTACAAACTTCCTCTCGTGAAACATTTCTTTCTCTGACTAATACAGATATTATAGTCATGTCTACCTACAAACTTCCTCTCGTAAGACGGTTCTTCCTCTGCCTAATACAGTTATAATAGGCATGTCTTACTAAGCACTTCTTCTCGTGAAACGGTCCTTCCTCTGCCTAATAAAGCTATTATAGGCATGTCTGACTACAAACTTCCTCTCGTGAAACATTTCTTTCTCTGACTAATACAGATATTATAGTCATGTCTACCTACAAACTTCCTCTCGTGAAACGGTTCTTCCTCTGCCTAATACAGATATTATAGTCATGTCTACCTACAAACTTCCTCTCGTGAAACGGTTCTTCCTCTGCCTAATACAGATATTATAGTCATGTCTACCTACAAACTTCCTCTCGTGAAACGGTTCTTCCTCTGCCTAATACAGATATAATAGGCATGTCTTACTAAGCACTTCCTCTCGTGAAACGGTTCTTCCTCTGCCTAATACATATATCATAGTCATGGCTTACTACGCACTTCCTCTCATGTAACGGTTTTTCCTCTGCCTAATAAAGATATGGTAGCTATGTCTGACTACAAACTTCCTCTCGTGAAACAGTTCTTCCTCTGCCTAATATAGATATAATATGCATTGCTTCTGGCAAAACAGTTCTCCCTCTGCCTAATGTAAATATACCAGGAATGTCATACTACAAACTTTTTTCTGGTAAAGCTGCCACATGTAAAACAACTCTACCTTACCTTATTATACATGTGATAGCCATGCCACCTCACAAACTAATTCTAGTAAAACAGATCCTCTGTCTAATAAAGATATAACAGGCATATCAAACTACAATATAACTCTATTGGAACAGTTTGCCATCCACCTAATAATGATGTGATTTCCATCTGACGTCTAATGCTACTTTTAACAAAAATTATTTTCCTCTGCTGCCTACTACTAGTATACCAGGGCTCTCCTCCACAAACTACCTATAGTCCTTCTGCCTAATACTGATAAGGGCATGTAAGATATTAAACTACATCTACTGAAACAACTCGTCTTCTACCTGGTACAGATGTGATATAGACATGTAACTTCACAAACTATTTCTAGTAAAGCATATATCCTTCCGTCTACCACAGACGGCATGTGCCTGTCACCTTACAAGCATACCTCCCTCTGTATAAAATAATTATAACAGTCATTACATTTTACAAATTACTTCTTATATAACAGTTGGTATCCGTCTAATACAGAATGAATGGCAAGGTAATATATTATTCCAAAATCGTGTCAATCACATTAACTGAATTCGTTAACGTGTCATTTAACGATCGATATTTGAGATTACATAGGTATATTAGTTATCAGTTCTGATAATAGCGCTGTACTATATAATGTATTACCTTAATGTACTGACCACAGGCCGTGCTACCCGGTGACAATAACAACTGTTGGCTATTTCTACTAAGTCATACTGAAATGTTAAGTCTTCCTAGGATACGTTCCTTATTTTATCAGACGACACCATACAAATGATACATTTGTGTCATAATTAAATGAAAACAAATTAGTTAATTTGCCGGCTGACTTTCTGAATGCGTTCATGGGTAGTGTATTGTTCTCTGTCGAGTCCTGTTATAGGGTTTGAGTGTCCGTGTACTATGGACCACCAGTCCAAAGGTTATGATGTAGCTGGGTTTTGTCCTACCACAGGCAACACGAATGGCTTATTTAATGATATACATTCTGTTATGTCAAAAAGTAGCAATAGATTATGTTGTTAAGGTTTTATGCGCATTTTCCATGCTTTTCTGATTTGGTTCCGGAACCCTTTAAACATGAACTTTCATTCTTTTCACCTTTAATACATTCACTGATGGGACTACCACCAACTGGACCAATTGGTCATATATGGATTGGGTTTGGCTTTCTGAATCGCCATACTAAAGTTCTAAGTAGGCGCTTTCTTAATTCGTATTTCTAGTTATGTCGCGAGCACCACGTCACAGATGACGAATACCTGCGTCAAACCTCTTCTGCCTCATTCGTTCCTTGTGTCTCTGTCTGTTCTGCGTTAATACATGCAATGTTTTATCGTTACATTTTTCGTATTCATAGTATTGACTTTATCCTCCGCCAAACTAACAAAAGTCGCCGTGCTTGTGAGTCTCTACCCTATCGAGTGTTGTGTATCTAACCTATTACTGTCCGGGACTCTGTAATACTTGTAATGCATTTCTAGGTTTTTTCCTGCTCTTTTCTTTTTCGTATTCATGGTATTCTGTAATGAAGTGTAGGTTATCCAGACCTTGTCAAGTCCATCTCGTACATACTTGTCTGCTTCGTAATGTACATCTGTGTCAGTTTCTATTAGATGAGTCGTTTCTCACCTATGAACAAATGTGTAAAAACATCAAAGCTGTGCTGCCCCAACATATGTAGACGCTTATATAAATACACGTGCATTATAGTCTACAGTATTGCACGAAGGTTATATAAAAGCCTGCTGCACGCGATGTTTTTTTCATATTTTGCTGTCAATTAAACACGTGTTCACGTGTCTGTAGGGATGGAATGTCTGCTGGTTTATCGAAACGTTACATGATATAACACATGGTTGTGTTCGTCTCACATGTTACCTCTTAAACACCTGGTGTGACCTTACTGTCCTATGACAAGATCGATGACCCTTGGATCAAATAGTAATATTGATACAAATAATATCTGCTTTCGCTTCTTTTATAAATGTTTACTGCGTCCGATGCTTTAAATGAAGTTGGGAGATGGCTTAATATAAGAGCCTACTCTTGTTCCCAGATCCCTAATATTACATTATGTAAAATTAGATAGTATGTAAAGCATATTTGTAAATTAAATAGTGTTTAAACCAAATGAAGTTATCAACGGAGCACATTATCCTGGGGTAAATATTGTATTCTGCTAATGTTTGTTTTTAATATTAGCAGAATATCATATTTAAAAACTGTTTCTTTAAGGCTAGACTTGTAAATTGTTGTTATGACATTGTATTTCAGAATAAAACATACCTATTGCAAAAAGAACATAGAGAAATAAGTACTGGTAAGACGTAAAACATATCCAATAATGTATTAATTGATACTGAACTGAAGATGTTTAAAACATTATAGATTAGCGCAGTATTTCAGTTTAACATGAACGCTTTTTCGTACGCATGCATTTCTTGGTAACAATGGCATTTAAATACAATAAAATAATTTATATCTATTCATTTTTTTAGTAATAATTCTGACTACAATTATGTTGCGTGAGGCTTTTTCTTTGCAATCCGAATTAATTGCTTTCAGACTAATAAATTCTGATTTAATGGTTAGCTATAGACATATTCACTGTAAGGTGTGTAATTTTAGGCCGATGTTTAACATATGTGTGTATCAAGTAACATGTACAGTCACTCTGTGTATAATACAGAATT